GCCATCATTTTGTCTTAATAGCTGTAAATAAGTTCAGTTGGACAACTGCAGGCAGAATCGATGGGTCGACCTAAGTTATCTTCCAAATCGGCTCTCTTATAATCCCCACGCTATCAACAAGCGCTTTTCAGTCAACTAGTTTATTCTCGTTTTCTCGTCACCATACTCCCATCAATAGCGTAGCTCCCACACGCTACCCACAATTCCTGACGGACTCAAAAGGTTAGCTTTTTCAACTCAGTTGCTAACACTAAATTACAGGCACGTAACAGTTTAGCTATAATATCTTTTTTAACTTTATTCATGAATCCCTTCCAATGTCACTCGTGTCTCAAGAGTTTCGATGAACTGACAATACTTGAGGAGAAAATTAACAAGCATTGGAACAGTACAACTGATGATTTCACATCCTTGTTTCGCCCCGACATATCTTTATCGATGGTCTTCGATGAATTCAAAACCAAGCTTAAGGCAGGCATGCTGAAAGGAGAAGTTCAAGATCGACCAGGAAAACCAAAAAGGTTAATTTACTATTGTCCCTTTGATTTCGTCTTGGGAACTTATCCAGTTCGACGTCGAAGGTGCAGAATCAAACATCGTGAAACCCGTTTGGTGAAAGTCGTCTGTGGGACCGCAAGTTGCGAAAATCCTTCTTGTCAGATTGGTCTTGTGCCCAGAGTGGTAGTATCAATGTATCCATTTAAAAAGACGGCAACTAGAGACCCTTACTGACAAAGACGCTAATGGAATATAAATCGGAAGTTTTGTCATATTAGTGGTGCGTAAGAACGTTGTTGTAACGACATGATTCAGGTGTGTACGTGTTCCCAACTCTGAACTGCTTGAACTCTATCAAGAAATCATCTGGCCAAACTGACTGTAGTCCCATGTCCCGAAGTAGAAGTAGAATGTTAGAAGTAGATTCGATGTAAATTGTTATTATAGGAGATAATGCGTGGTGCTGTGGAATTTGATCAATAAAATGAGGATAGAACTTGGTCGTAAATTCGATATGTGTATATTTGACATCATGTTGAATCACAGCTATTTTCCTTTATGAAATATGTACAACAAGCAGCGTATAGAGAAGTATGCTCGAAAGTTAATTCTATCCCTCCTATGATCCTAATTAAGCTTTCCCAGTAATGTTGGAGAGCAGACATTTTGGAAATAAAGAACAAAATCATGTTCTGCAAGTTCATTTCTAACTAAATCAGAGCACCGTGGCATAACTGATATATTTTATTTCAACGTATTCCGAAGACGTTTTGCAAAACTCGTTCAGTCAAAAAAACGTCTCAGGAGCTGAGCTGTAACAGAGAATATGATAATTTAATTTCTTCAAACTAAGTATGTAGACCAATTCCAGTAACATTTTCAAAATTCGGTGGGGCAAAGACTCGTACAGAAAAACTCCCCATTCAAGATAGTATGATAAAGTTACGTACAAAAAATGGTATTTCTAGGCTTGTTTTTAACTCTCTCCCTACTGCTTCACTTTTAAAGCCACTGCAATGAGTATCCTTCTTTGAGGGATACCCTGTAGTTGGACGGTGGTTGAAAGTCCAAAGCAGTAGGCTTGGGAGAGGTCGCAAAACCCTGATGGCTAAGGTTAGGAGCATCACCCGCCATCAAGCCAGACTTGCCGATAGAAATGCAGAGAGCTTAATGTCAAGGGTAGTGCCCCACATGCAGCTCAACCGCTAACCTATCCAAGCGTGGGTTGCAAATAGCTCTCTGTGGAAAGCTCAAGGGGTGGGGAGGGTATGTAACTGGACCCCTTGTCCTACTGGCTGTCTTCTATGAGGCTGGAAGGGACTTGTCTTATTCATCTTGTTTGACAGCCTGGATTACAGGACTGGTGTTCAGGCTTGTACCCTTTCACACCTCAGCCACTGTTGGTTGCTGTTGATCAGTTGGTTGCAGCAAATCCATTAAAAATAGCTTATTAAGATTGGTCTGATGAAGGTAGAGATTCTCCTAACAAAGCTTAAGGATGGAGTATGCAGTCAAGTAAGGAGAAATTGCCAGGAATGTCAAAGGCGTTTCAAGGGTTGATAGATTGGGGTTTGCAATATTCCTCAGTCATCGTCGAGACTCACTGAAATCAGGGGGTATTCAAGACAGTTACACGGCAGCTATGAAATTTTCTGCAGTGGTCTTTTTGGTTTATCTCGCCATTGGTGCTGATGCATGAGAAAGAAAAATTGCAAACAAATAATGGGCAAGTTTTCAGATCTTGAGGACTTGATAGTAAAGAAACAGGGCTGCTGTAGAGTGGGTAAGGTACAAGACTGTTACAAAGTCGAATAGAAATTTTATGTACTATTAGTATGTATGACCTTGGAAACGCAAGTTTAGATAAATTGTTTTAGTTTAAACTTTCTGGGAAACTGAACTAATTCTTTAAGACTCGTCCTTTCCGAGCAAATATATAAACAATGCCGCCTAAATTTTTCTCCCTACACTTCTTTCGTGCTCTAACCGCTTTGTGCGTGCTTTACTACAGAACAGAGCACAGTCGAGGCTTCTCTATTTGTTAAATAGAGACCAATTTCTACTCGGCATGATAACCAAAGTAGTTTACATTTGTTAAAGGCTTAGCAACTAGGCACGTAACAAATGAATAAATGGGGTAAGTTTCTAAAGAAACTGTGGTGCTGCGTCGGTAAATAAAGCAAGGAAAATATGCCAAAAAGGAACAAATCCAAATTTTTTTCGACGTGGCGCCAGGATTTTCTATGTAAAGATAAGTGCTGGTGTTGGCTAGAAGTGGATGCGAAAGACAGCCTGGTGACTGTGAAAGTCACAACATTTAAGCTTATGTTTCTCGGAAATTGTTGGTTGCCTCAGCAAGGGGCAGGGACCTTTCAATCGTTTGTTCGCAGTAGCGACTAAACGCTTTCTTCCCCAATATTTTTCAAAACAAATTTAAAAGAGATTTTCATAGTCAATCAGCGCACGACATGCACCACATAAATGTTTGCCATTCCTATAAAAATTTAAACTTCTACATTTCCTTTAAAAAAATTAAACCTCTACATTATGATTTGCTGAGAGAAATCCAGTTTGCATGCAACACAATGCAGAAGAAATTAAGGTAATACAAAGCAAAAATAGTTGATTTTTAGTTGACTCGGAAAATTCGTCCCCTAACAGTACCAAAGTAACTATTGGATTAGCTTCACATTTCTAAACAAAGTTTTAATACTAAGTTAGGAAGTTTGAGAGAAATACTTAATGTGAATTCTGCGAAAATTTCTGACTGCTGAGCGTGTGGTCCATTGAAGACTGTGTCTGGTTAATTTGCATTTTATTTGCAGAATCTTGATTATGCAAATCAGAATAGAAGACTTGACTGTGCTCTGTTCTGCTGTAAAACACGCAGGAAACGGCTAGAGCAGGAAAGAAGTGTAGGGAGAAACACGAGACGTAGTGCTTTACAACAGAATAGAGCACAGCCACGGATTCTCTATTTGTTTTAAAATACAGAATCCGTTCAATTCCCCACGCATCACTTTCAATTTTCAAAAACAAATTTTATTTTCAAAAGCGAACAACAGTGTCATAAGCATGCTCCATACTCTCATAAAGCATGCTACAATGAGCCAATCAGAATCCATGTTAGCATGGTTCAAATAATTTAATTGGTTAAACAAGACTAAAGCTGTCAAAAATGTAAAACCATCAAACTTCACGATTTGCAAAAGTTTACAAACTGAAATTATGCAGCGCAGCAGGTCGAATTTAACACTTTTGCCTAAAGTTTTTTATTCTCTAACACAGAATTTAAGAGTGAAATATTCCTTACATTACGGACGAATTAAAGCTCATAACAACACGCGAGTTTTCTTCACATGGCGAGTAGATAACAAACTGCTCAAGACCGTGTTATATGTATAAGCGACAGCCGAATTCACAGGAACACAAAGATTGCTCGGGATGACAGCGCCGTAAAACTCGGCTTCAGTGACTGATGTGGCCTTCCTCTCAACGCATCGGAAAGGATATCAGAGTAGGCTCTTAGTTGTTCACCCGAAAAGCGGCTATTATAATTTCTGCGGCTCGCTTCACTGCGATGACCGGAGATCGCTATGATGATGTAGCCGCGATGGACCTCAGCATGATCGCCGTCGCTCTGGCACAGTCATATAATAAATATGAATTTTAACACTTATGCCAGTTTAGTTATATTTTTCATAATTCCTGCATTTTTCTGTTTTGGTTTTTGAACACGAAACTATATATACTATACGAAAGTGAGCTGTGTTTGATTTTTATTACCGTACGCATGCTGGCAATATAACTGAGAGTGAAAACCTTCAAAACTCGAACTGTCCATTTCGTTTTCTAGCTTGAGAGAAGTCCCGGAAAAGGTCGGACATAGCACAATTTGGGAGATGGCGTGACAGCTTAAGCTCAGCTCTCTATGCTTTGTACTCTGATTTAGCACACTCTTTCAACCAATGACAGCGCGCGTTATATCCGAACTTAACAGACATGAGAAGAGCTCGAGGACTTGTCCGTTCTTGTCAACATTTGTCTACTTTGAAATATTCACAAGGTTTTGTAAATTATTTTCACATATTCCCTCGGTCTTTAAAAGCTGAATTACTCTTGTTTATGAAATTCAAACTGCATTAGCTTCACTGTTCACCAAAGAAAAAAAAACTTAGTTTTTTCTGATATACAGTATACTGCATCTGAGAAATTACCTTAAGGCTTGATTTCATATTTTCTTAACACGAATTTTTGTTGAGTCGTGGCTAATTTGACATACCTGAATTGAAAATCGAAATTTCATCCTTTAAAGCAGTCTTCGCTCAGATCATCGTGAAACGTTAACGACAGACAAAAAAGAGGCCGCCGTTGACAACGTCATTGCTTCTGAAACCTTGCATTACCAGCAATCCGAGACATTTTACTCCCGCGGTCCGCGAGGTCAGTAGTTTCTTCAGGTTCTACTGTTCATGCGCTATGGCGTCAGATTTCATGTAAACATGGAGCGAAGTAGATTTCCGCGGAGGAATCGAGTTGATTATAAAGCACTAAATGTTCTTTCTACAGTGGATTTAGAAGTTCATTTGAAAGGAAGGAGAAAATTTAAAAGCGGATCTAAAGTTTATTTTGTGGAGAGACTTATCAGCCGGCGAAGATTGAAGAACGAGGTATGTGTATTGACCCTTTTATGTTCCTGCAGCTATATTTTACTTCGGATGAAATTTATACTACAATCGAAGTAAGTTCATAAACAGCTCTAATCAATCTCTGACAATTTCAGGACTTTGAATACCTAGTAAAATGGAAGGACTGGCCATTGTGGACAAGCACGTGGGAGCCTTCGGCTCATTTGAATGAGCATCTTATCAGGTATATTTAGTTTGTTTTCGATGGTGATTTTAAGCTTAAATGTGAGCTTCATTATAGAAGATGGTTTGATCGTCTTAACCGTAACACGTTTTCGATTCCAATCTTATGTTTTGTTTTCTGCATTAAAAACTTTCTAGGGCATACAGCAACCCCACTGTTACCGTGGAAAGACTACAGAGCGCATCAGTTGCATTTCTGGAAGGCATTCTTTCAATCCTAAAAATCCATCGACCAGGAATCCAAAAATTAAGAAGGTCAATGTAGTTTAACTCATTTCCTCTCTCGTCTTTTATTCCAACAAGCTCATGCCATTTCATCAAAATTGGATACGGGATGTATATTGCCAGAGCTATTCGAGATTCTTGAACGCATTGCTGTTTTATATAAGAAAGAGGAGATTCAGTGACCTTAAGTTGAAATTCTAGGGATTTCTTTTCGAAATCGAGCAAAACATCAGACATTTTTTGACGATTCAGACTGGAATGAGCTCACAGTGATACAAGTTTTGTTTTTTATAATTGGCGCGATTTGGCGCTTGTAGGAGTCTGCAGATTGTTAAAACAGCGGTAAAAAGCGTGGAAATGCTAGGCTGCTAAGCTGAAGTAAATATGGCGACTTTTTTCACGAAGAAAACGATGGAAAGTGGTCGTTCTTCGCGTCCTACAGGACATTCGCGAGCTCAGGTAAAGGTTACGTCTAATAGTGAAAAAGCCCTATTTTCAAGATTGATTTGCGGCCTCCTATTTTATCATGGAAGGCTTTATTTAACGTATTTGAAAGATCGTAAACTGAAGAAAATTTTGAGGGGTCGGCACCGATGAAAGCATGAAACACACGGACAGCTCAAAGCATGGAAGTGAAGGTAAGTGAAGGTATTTGGATGAAACTATAAAGGAAGTACAACCGAAGATCTTTGTTATTTTACCTCTATTCCGCGGCTCGACGAATAAACGAAACGGTGAAAAAACTTTCGCTTCGTAGTGCAGTTGCATATTATTTATCAACGAGAGGTCGGCACGTAGAATTTAATTTATTTAAACTGCCAAAAAATAAGATTTTATTTCAGATCCCATACATTTCTTTGTATCTTCGGGAAGCCATTTTGAAAGTAATCTTTGATTGACGTACGGTATTTGAGACGCAATATGACTCGCATTGCTGGTAATGGTAAGAAGAAGAAAAACAAAACGAGAGAAAAGTTTTGCAAAGTATTTAAATTGACCAACTTTGAATTAAAACAGAAAAGAACTTCATACTAATGATTTTACATAAACTCACTTGACGGGAGAATAGAGTTTGATAAGAAACTTACAATAGAGATTCACTCCTGCTTGGAAGATTCTTTCCCCGAATTTTTATTTACCTTTTTTGAATTTTTTCGAGTTTTGCCGGAACATGCCGAAACCCATTCAAGGGTTCAAGAGTTCATGACAAAAATTAGAATGAAGTCGAAAAACCCATCCGCTGCATCCAACAGTTGCGAACATTTATTGCAAGACATCTTCACCGCCGAATTTCCCCAGTGATTCCCAATCAACCGATGTTGCAAAGGGTAATGATTTTCGTCGGGTGGTGTTGACTGTAAAGTCACAAAAATCAGCGAAATATATTTTCGGTGTAATTTTCTCGTGACACGCGCGAGTGATTTACATTCAAATGAATAATACAGGAGTTGGCGGGGCGAGACCACAGAGTGACCGCTAGTAATCTCTATACGACTTTCCATATTATGGAAATTATTCAACGAAATCATTCTATGAAATTGCTTACCGACATCATATGATCAAATAATTCAATGGAATCATTTGATGGGGTCATTTTATAATATCGAAATGTTCGAATACCATAGGAGACTGGCGCTTTGATTTCACATCATTTTTCTATTGTGTGACATTCTCAGAGAACAGGGAAGTCAATGATGTAATAACACAGGGGCTTTCCCTAGGAAACGAGACATCAGATTGCTATTTTTTTTTGGTCAAGTGGTAATCTCGAGAGATCATGTAATCTTTACAAATATATATTAAAAGAATTTAAGAAAACGTTTTTGAAAACATGTCTCGACAGTTCTTCTGTCTTCTTCAGTTCTTATTAATGCAATTTAAAGTGTAAATTTAAAATGCTCATTGGACAAAAAAAAACAATAGAAACAAAACAATGTATGCAATTACAAGGAAAGTTTTAAACTAACATAATAAAGTTGATGATTGAGTGTAGGTTGCTCCCATTAAATGTGAATAGCTTCTTTGATTTTAAGTTGGAGAATTGTGTGATCTTAAATGCTAAAACACTCATCAGAACATAGCGTGCAACATTGTTGAGAATTTTCTAAATGTCTGAAACTCTGAGAGGTCCTATCACTGACCAAATGTTTACGCACACGTGTGGATAAATGCCGAGAGGTTTCGCCGACAGAGCAGGCATTACAGCCCGCACATAAAAACCAGTGAACTACACAAGAGGGATAGTGTCTTTCACATCAAACATATTACCTATTTTAAAAGGTGAAAAACCCAACTTAATATATGTTAGTACAATAACGCTTAGCAAAGTGGCGAACCCTTTTCTTTAGTTTATTTATTAAAGAATTTTCTAACAGCAATGTAAACCTACAAACCAGTATTCATACTAAATATGAGAAGAACGTTGATGACAGTTTAATCATTCTGTGTCAAGTACAGACCAGGAAAACGCTTTTCAATATCTTATGGATAACCCTTCTCCTGAATTTTAATTACTGACGAAAAGATATAACAGGTGTCCAAACTACTTATAAAAATTTTCACAATGTAAAAAACAACTACCTACCACAAAAAAGTTGAAAATACAAGACGCCGCCAAAAATGACGACAACCCAATTACCAAGAAAACATTTGATGATGCTGTGACAAGCGGATTCCATTATTGTAATAACCCTAGCACATAACAATAATACAGAAATGAGATTCGTTTCGAGTGGAGTTAATGTTTTGATGTCAAATAGCGCCTATTTGAGCGTCATCAATAATGCATTAATTAATCTAGAAAGTGGTTTTATGAGATTCATTTCAAGGATGGTTGCAAAGGACGAGCGCGAGGCGGGAGTCCGATCTGTTAATCACAAGTATGATTACAGACAGAACTGGACGACATGAAGTACTGTCACCAGTCAATCAAAACCATGACAAAATTTGAGAAAGAAACTAGACATCGGTTGTTCGTTTTCATAAAAAAAAACTAGCTATTAACTCGGCGAAATGCGAGACAACAGCACACGCTCATGATGCGTTTTGTCCTCTTAACATAGGCATGACGTGTTAACTGTCCCTTTAACTGTCCTATTACACTGTCCAATTAAAAGTATGGCGCGTACACTGTCCTATTTGTGCTCAAAGCGGGCTGGTGATAACTAATCATGTTCGAGAATCTTGTTATAGTTTTGATTAAACGTGTAATTTGTATCAGCATCTCTAGTTGTTTGTGAGACGACAGCAGGAGGTGTGACACTAAATCCAATTGTGTCGGAATCGATATCTGGAGCAGGTGTTTTACTAAAGACTTACAGTAAAATAAGGAATTTCAGAAAAAAAAATCGAGCTATGCTGATTTGCTTTCACAAGTTATGAAAAAATTCTCGTCAAATTGTGATCCTTTATGAGAGGTAAATGATACGACGATCAAGATTATTTGACTCAGCTGAGGGTTCTTGATGATATCGCCATCGATGTGTGTCCTTTAGTTGACAAATGGGATAAGAAGTATTCATAAAAATTCATCTCCGAATAATTATTTTGATATCATCACCGATTGGTGTTTTTATTCTACTCCAATATTGCATATAAAATTCTGATGTTCTTTTTTATTTGAATGTTGGTATATTTTTGTATTGTAATCTCATCATCATTAGTATTTGTTTTAAAATGAAATCGATGTTTATCATTCTTTTACGATCACCATTAATCTGAGGTAGCACTCTCTCATTCTTTTCAAAAACCTCAAATATCTTATTTTTATCAATCGTTGTTATCTGCATGTTGTCCTTACTGCATTTATCAAAGATTACTTTCTGAATGTGATACTTTCGTTAATGAACTGAATTTTTCATAATTTTAAATTTGTTTTCGTTGTTATCGATGTACTCATTCACGTATTTATATCCTTGAATCAAATCACAACTTACTCATACAGTTTCTCCGTTATCGGCTTCAAGTTTCATAGTTTTACAACATTGTTCATTTTTCACAGTATGTTCTTGAAGTTGCTCGTTACATACTGGACAGTAAATCTGTCTCAAGTTCTTTCTGGATTTCATTGTTGCAATCCATTATTCTTATACTACTATATGAGACTTTTTTAGATTCAAAAACAATAGCAATGCTATGACTCATTTCCTCCGGAAAGTCCCTTCTTTTTTGAGAATGTTACGCAATGGAAAAATGCTGTGAAATCATATCGTTAGTCTCCTATAGTATATAAAAATATATGGTATTCCAACGTTTTGATATTATAAAATGATTCTATATATGGAAAGTAGTATAGTGAGTTGGCGTTGTACAAGATCACTTTTTCGAAGTGATCAGGCACCGCCAGAAATAAGCAGAAATAGGTGAAATTCTGGGGCTCAGGTAAGATTTGGATAGGCTGGTGGCTGGGCTGCACGCGGCTGGGCTGCACCCTAAGGCACTAACCTTGACGTTGAGCCCCCCCGCATTTTCATCGGCGAGCCGTTGCTTTACAGTACCGTGATGGAATTTACCTCAATTTTCAGCCCTTGGGGAACGAAGATAGTAATAAACTGCCTGGATTCAGAAATAGCCCTACAGTGTTATAAGAGATTTGGAACTTTATGTGGGAATACCACCCATCAGCAATTGCTTTCTCTAGATCAGCTGTCATCGTGAAAAAAACTGATTTTGCTTTCAGTAAAAAGTTTTTAGCTAAAGTTGAGCGAGACAAAAAAGGCTTTGAAACCTAATTTTTTAGACTTCAAAGGAAGCCTCATCACCTTTCGTCTTCACTTGGGAATCTCTCAAAGAAGGATATTCATTCCAGTGGCTTTCACAAGTGAAGCATTTGAGGGAGAGTTGAAACAAGCCTCCTTACACGCCTAGAAATGTCTTTTTTTGTGCATAACTTTACCATACTATCTTGAATGGGAAGTTTTTCCGTACGAACCTTTGCCTAACCGAATTTCGAACATGTCACTTAGATTGGTCTACATACTTCATTTAAAGAAATGACAT